CTCAAGTCTCTGTGTCGTCAGTTTGATATAGTGAGTACTTACACTCAAGTCTCTGTGTCGTCAGTTTGATATAGTGAGTACTTACACTCAGATGTCTGTGTCGTCAGTTTGATATAGTAAGTACTCACACTCAAGTCTCTGTGTCGTCAGTTTGATATAGTGAGTACTTACACTCAGATGTCTGTGTCGTCAGTTTGATATAGTAAGTACTCACACTCAAGTCTCTGTGTCGTCAGTTTGATATAGTGAGTACTCACACTCAAGTCTCTGTGTCATCAGTTTGATATAGTGAGTGCTCACACTCAAGTCTCTGTGTCATCAGTTTGATATAGTGAGTGCTCACGCGAAAGTCAACACGAAAGGTCAAAGGCGGCCCCAGGACTGACGGGTATTGGGTAAAAAAACCAAACAAACTAAAGAGTACATGTCCGGTGTCTTAGACACACACATTGCCTAGCGTCTGATCCTACCTTCTGTTTATTTGAATTTACGTTGAAGCTTTACATGTAGCTGGTGACTTCTTGTTTATTTTCCCCCTGGCATCATTGCAATGGCGAGGGCAGATGTAGATGAGGTAAGACTGGTCAGGGAATGTCCGCAGTCTCATGCCTTTTTCAGTTTATCACTTGTCAAGATGGAAATGGTGGCTATCCGGTTCTAACATCACCAGCCCCGTTGTACCGCCAACTTTATGCTCGTCCCAAGGTCAACGGCATAACAAGGTTTGGCTGTAGTTTGAAGTTTACAAAACACAAAACAAAAACCCAGCGGTACTGAGGATACGAAACAAGTAACGGCCATTTTCTGTTGACCACATCATTAATTTACAACCTGAGGGAAAACTGACTTTGTCGATTGAAGACTACAGGGAGGAAACTGGTCATGTCCAAACCATCGTCCTTTCTTTGACCCCCCCCCCCCTTCCCCCATGGTGCAACATATTGATGACAGTAAAAGATTAAACCTGCTTTAAATAACCACTAAAGGAATACTTCAATAGAAAAAACACAAAAAACGTGTACGAATGATACACAAGAAAGAAATAACAAAGTCTTTTGTTTGTTTCAGAAAGAGTTTTACAGTAGTTGCAACAGAATTACATCATAATTATACGTGCGGAAGGTCAGAAGTGTCACAAGAGAGAAATAAACACACAAAAAAGAAAAGTTAATGAAGATAGATGTTTGACAGGAAAGTAGGAGCAAACTCCATCAGAGCACCTGCCAACCACCCATATCGTTTCAGCTAGTGGGACAATTAATTATGATGTCATGATATCATCTGGGGGGGGGGGGGTTGTAAGGGGGCCTAGTATACACCTGTGTTGTGACTGTGCTGGTGTTTGTGATACCGTGTCCTACACATGACACAGCAAAACTATATATAATGTGTCACTCGGCAAACAGCGGGTGTGTATCACAGATGGCGGGAAAAAGAAAAGAAAAGAAAACCAAACAAAAACTGTAACACGACTAACGACCCGTCGATTTGAACAGCACGCAACGGGGGCAGGGGAGTGGGGTCTTTAGTCTGTGCACATCACAACATACAGTGTACGTCATACAGGCATGCTAGTTTGATGTACTAGTCTAATGTGTGTGTTTGTGGGGGG